GTCACTGCCGTTGGGACGGGCACTGTTGCTCATCGGAGTCGGCCGGTGAGGTTGAGGGAGGGTATGATGATCTTCCTTCTCGCCTTTGCAGTGTGCCCAAGCCCGCGCAGCAATTACTCTTTCATGACGGCAGTGAAGTTGCGTCGGGGTCTTGATCTGGAAGACACTGTGACGGCGGGAAATGACTGCCTACCAAGTGGTAGATGGCACAGACGTCTTGATGGCATACACACATGCCCTTTTCCTTTGGTGACAGATGGGACTCCAGTAGAGCAGAGGAAGGCGAGGTCGGAACTAGGTCTATCCTTGCTTGCCACGCAGCATAGAAAGCGGGAAATCATCCCGTTGCTGCAGCATCTGGTGTAAGGTGAAGGACGGATGTTGCTTGATGAGGATATCCGATTCATGCGAGATCTTCTTCCCGTCGGGATGGAAGGTCTTCTCGAAAGAAGAGATCTAGAGCGGATCGGATATCGGATTGTGTGTTCGAGATGTTCCAGATGCAGTAGAAGGAATTGGGATGTGAGATGAGAGGGGGACAGTGACAGGGCTTTGATGTGGTGATCTGATGGGGGATGAGGTGATGGGTGGTAATGGTCAAGAAGATGAGATGAGGAGATGGGATGGTGAGGTGGTTTGGGAAAGGATCTGGGGGTTTCTGGAAGGGATCAGCGTAGGTTCACACTCCTGTGTCTCTCTGTCTGTGTGCTGCTCTGGGCTCGTCTTCTTGGACAAGTCCTAAGTCAGCTGACCTCACTGTCATCTCTCACACTGGCCGCAGTTTGAGGTTGCGGGAGGAGTTTGTTTCTGGTGTTTTAGCCTCGGTCAACTCTCAGACGCCGGCTCAAGTTGAGCTTTTGGTGAGGCTTTTGTTGTTGTGGCGTCTTTCTTATCGGCTATCAAGATGTCACTTCAGCCTCGTTGTCGTTGTTGTCACAAAAGAATCAGCCTCACCGCTATGGTGAGCCGTCAAGTTTGAGATAGAGTAGAGGTTATGAGAAAGCAAAATTTGGCTAAACGGCGCCCGGTGTGTTGTGGCTAGAAAGAAGACACTGCGGCTGTGTATGGTGTTGATTGAGGGTGGTCAGCTTCATGATGGGACTCGAGGACCTCGGGAAGAAACAAGGCAAAAGAATGCGGCAGGGGGCCAGGAAAGGACAAGGCAGAGAGATATAAAGAATACAGACTGTCACCTTGCTTTTATGTTCCAATTTCTTATGGCTACAGAGGGTGATGATGACCGTTGTTTTCGACTCAAGGAAGGAAGAAGGGATCAGAAAGGGGTGAAGGGATCGGCATCAACAGATGGCAATAGCAACATAACGACCTCGAAGCCAATATCCAAGACAAAAGACGAGAAACCTCGAATATGGCCGCGACTCGTACCTAGGGGACGGCTTGAAAGACTTCGGCAGCCAGCGGGGAGGATGGGTACTCGACCAAAAGGCTTCTCAATGACAAGACAGTCCCCGAGAGACAGATTGAAAGACGCATAACGGATACGTCACATAAGATAAACAAATAAACGGAGGTCTTCCTGTTCAGAAACCAAACGGGATGAGTCGTTTACGACGAACAATTAGGAGACTCGGGCAAGGAACAGGCGACAGGACCGTGGCTTCCCAGAAACATTGGTATCGCAAAGCCAGCATATAGCCAACGCAACCACGGTCCTCACAGCCCGGTCATCGAGGGTTTGGGCAACAAGCAGTCACTACAGGAGCGAAGCGCAGGAGCTTGGGCTTTATGTATTAGGTCGACAGCCACAATCTTCAGCCAGCCCTAGTACCCTCATCCCAACACCCTTGCGGTCAACTGGTAAGGGGATTGGAGCCGCTCACGCCCACCGCCCCCCCCCCCCCCCCTCCCGGCTCACCGTGAGCACCTGTTCGATCTGAAGTAAAAGCCTTGGGTTTTGGTAGCCGATCACCTCCCCTGCTCATGAGGGAGCTGACCGGGGAGCTTTTGCGACTTTCTTCTTACTGTCAATCAATCTTATTTTGGTCTTAGTTCTTGCCAAAGGTTTATGCAACGAGCAAAAGAGGGTGGGACATCAATCACTCTCCCCTAGCAAATACATAACCCCAGGATTATCTTAGGGGATGCTAACACCTAACCCAACCAACGGGCCTAAACAGAGCCGCAAACACCTGCAAAACAACAATAATAACAACAACATCCAATCTCCAAATTACACCAACAAGCATGAAAAAAAATAAAAACGAAACACCAAAAACATACAACACCAGGGATTCCCCAGTGGTCACCCACCTGAGTACTGGTCTGGCGGTCAATTGCTTAACTAGGGGAGAGCGGACGGGATCCCGTGTATTCAACTGCCTATGGTCGTATGTGCTTGCGTTCAGCATATTGTGAGCTTAAGAAGCAACATGTTTCTCTGTTCCCAGCTTCGGTTGGTGAGAAGGGAGAGGAAGTCTCAGGGTCTCGACAAGATGGCGCTGATTCTTAGGAAGACCAGGGGAAACCCTTATTTATGTTAAGGTTATTTCTACCAAGGAAACCGCTCCTTTTAATCCACCGCCGGGGATGAATCGCAGCATCCTTCGAACCATATCCACGGGCATCATCCATTTTTCGAGACTGTGCTCGTCAACAGCCTACTATACCAATCCCACTTTAAGCATTCTGGAAGGATATAATCAGCTGTGGTACGATTTGCAAGGTTATGGGTGTCACGGCCATCCCAGCTTCTTGGATCCCTGTGTCAAGCTCTCAACTTCCTAGAAACCGTTCGGAATACCACATCTTGACGCCTCCATTCTTGCCATGATCTTAGTTGATGCATTACACAATCAAACTGGCAATGCTTCAAGCAGCTATTTGACAATCCAACGTCTAGTTCCATCGTCGCTCTACATTGCAAACAACTCCTTCCTATCCAATCTCCATCATGGGAGCGATAAACTCGCCCTGAAGTCATCAATCGCCACGCTCTTCTCTCTCAGCCCGCTCTTCTTTCCGTCTACAGTCCCTGGGTGTGTCTCTCTTTCCAATGTCCAAACCTCCCGTACTCCCAGGCTTTCGAGATAGTCCAACCCTCTCAAATAATTCGTCGCCACCTGCCCAATCCCGTGGCTATCGTCAGAGAACGTAAACCTGCCTCCCATCTTGATCCACTCCTCAGCAATCTCCCTCTTGGGGTACCCCTCGGCCATCCCTTTCCTCAACCCAGAAGTGTTCATCTCCAGCCAACCCCCGAACTCCTTCACCTTTTCCAGATTCCTGACTACCTTCCCCCAAACCTTTTGATTCGACTTCAGCTCCCTCCCGGGATCCTCACTCATCAACCTAATCAAGTCGAAGTGCCCTACCACCTTGGGCTTCAGCGCGCTCAACATCTCCAACTGCTCATCAAAATACTTCTCATACAGCCCCTCCTCGGTGCCACCGCAAGCCTCAACAGCTGTCCGGTAAAGCGCCTTGTCATAGTCAATCGGAATCCCAGCCGTGTGGTGCAGACTCCCAATGAAGTAATCCACCCTCGCGTCCTTGGCCAGCTCCCCTATCAGCGACCCGTACTCCTCCCCTCTGATCCACTCCCCTTCGAACCCGATGAGGATGTGGATCTTGTCTGCGTACTTCTGCTGGAGGGCGGCCGCGGTAGAGAGGTACTCCTCGTGCCGGGGGAAAAGGGAATCGAGGGTGGCCTGCGGGGTGGGGAGGAGCTCCTCGGGGTAGAGGTCCGAGACGGAGGTGCGGGGCATGTGCTCGGTCAGGCCGAGGGTTTGGTACCCGAGGGAGATGGCGTGGAGGATGATGGACTCGAGCGAGTCGACGGCGTGGCCGGGGCAGAATTGGCCCGAGTGGGAATGCATTGTGAAGGCCATTGTCTTGGTGGTTTGTAGGTTGATGAAGCCGATTCCTCAGAACAATGTGGTGAAAAGGTGCTCAAACTTTGTTGTTTGAACAGAACGATACTTAAAAATTAGATTTATCTCGCCTCGGCCCGTTGGGGTTGGCGATGGCACAGAGTGAGAGTTCAACGGTAATGATGAGTCAAGAAAAGAAAAATGCCCCGCCCTGCCTTCAAGGAGTGATAGAGCAACAAGACAAGGCCAAGCAGGCCATTCAGGTCGTTGCAACACACCACGAGGCCATTCATACCCTCACTAAACTCAATTCATCTTTTCCAATGGCCGGCAAACTTGCCATCACAGCCCCGCTTATCAACAATCTTGTCTGAATCACAGTTCTTTGAAGCTTGAAGCTCCGACTGATGCTGATGCGACTCCACAGTCCACTGGGAGCAGTTGTTGCGCTGCCATTGTCCAATGGGGAGCAAGGCTTTACCTCTGAAAGGGCATTGGGGAAAAACGGTTTGGGAAAGGTAAAATGCATGTATCTGAAGCCAACCCAGAGGCAAAAATATACTATGTAGTGTTTATTGAAAGTGGAAAAAGTAATCGACCATCATGGGACTCGAACCCACAACCTTAGCCTTAATCTCCTTGTTAGGAGGGCTACGCGCTACCATTGCGCTAGACGGCCATCTTATTTGTTGAAAACAGAGGTGGAATAATGTCATTATTACGAGAGCACTGAAAGCTTCTGTGTATAGCCCAGGGGGGCAGGCAATACGAGAACAAAACACACTGCAGATGAGAAACTCAACAACGCATACCAAAATAGAACTACTAAGTGTTTCACTTTACTGCAACAACGATCTGGAAAGGAGCCATTCTTATTGACCGTGATTGTGCCACTGGAGAGTTTACGAGAGGTCGTACACGATGTCATCTTCTTTTCCTGCCTTATAACAACAAAGCTCTCACAGTGCTCGGGCAGGGAAGTACATTCCACCAGTTCCAGCAAAGGAATTGACCAAAAGAAATGAGACTCAAGATGGCCCGTACATGTTGTGATTCGATTTTCACATTTTCCTTCCTGAAAATCTTGGTGTTCGTACAATCCGCTGTGATGCGTCATACTTAGAGTGCCCCAGATTGCCAGGCATTGTGTATGTATCTGAAAGTTCTTCCTCACCGGGCCTTCTTCTTTCCCTCGACTTTTGCATTCCCATTCCTATTCCCATTGAAAGCATCGGGCTTGAATCCCAAACAAATCGCCGTCGCATAATCCCCATCATGACTGATACTCAACAGCGCCACCTGCCCCTTCACCCCCACCTCCTCATCTCCTAATATTACCGCCACTGGCGGTCCCGTTACCCTCCCAAATTCCGCCCTCGGCCCCAAACCATCTATGTTCTCCAGGATATAATCCCCCTTATCCTTCCGTTGCACCCGTCCCCCCGCCCCCTCCCCTTCTTCCTCAGCCGTCTCCTCCACCCTCCTCCCCAAATTCTCCTCACCCTCAACCATAATCTCCACCCCCCCAAACGTGACCTTCCCTGCTGACGTCCCCGCCCGAAAAGCATGAGCCTTGATTACTGCCTCCTTCGCCGCCCACCGCCCAGCCAACCACTCCGCCAGTTTCCAAATCTCCCCCCTTCTTTCCGATCGCTGTCTCCCAAGCAGATTCTTGTGCTTTACCGGACCGACCCCGTCCCGAAACGACATGACCTTCACCGCATTGAGGTAGACGGGCAGCTCCTCCAACCGTTCCCTCTCGTTTTGCGTCAGCAGCTTCTTTGTGAACCTGTCCACATTGTTGATCACGTTGAAGGGCCGGGCGAGAGTGGGGATGATGGGCGTGCCCTGATTTGTGGTGATGAGGGAGTAAACTCGGGGGATCATGCAGACATCTGTCCCCAGGGTGAGACCCAACGGGAAGGGTATGACACCCTTCATCTTGGGATATCTCAGGCTGCTTCAACAAAAGAAAATTTGTCAAGGTCGTGGGATCGTGATGAAGAGAACTGAGCTCTGAGCTTGAGCACACACCCCTGTCGGTTGCAACCCTGCCAAGCGAGAACTTTCTGATCGCGATAGGCTACAACTCTTATCGATAAGCATGTCGCATACGTCATACCTGAACCAAACCAAAACACCATGCAAACATCGTGACTTTGGAAACAGAACAGAAAAGAACACAAGGTGTTACATGTTGTGGTTGTAGAAAAGAGACCTCGTAAGACCCAACAGTACAGCAATTTTGTGCCCACCCCCACCCCCGCCTCCTGAACCATTCCATATTACTAAAATACCGTTCGTCCTTTATGGACGACTCCATATCCACTTCCAGCTCTCACTCAATCTGTACCTCACCCTCTTCAAAAACCCCTAATTGTCAGCCAACAGAGGCGCTCTCTCGGCATCTCCAACAGGCTCTCTCCTATTGCCGAAGAAGTCTTCCCGCCCAGTCCAAGCCGGCACGGCAACCAACACAGTGGCCACAAACAGCACCGACATGATGGTGAATGCAAAGATCCACTGGAACGCAATGATCTGTCTGAAAAACTGCGCGACGCCCAGGGAAGCTGACAAGACACTGAGAGCAAACCCCATGGTGTAGTCCTATGTTCTATTAGCACCGCGCCGTATTCTTCTTTGTCTGATGGAAGAAAATACCTTGTATAAAAAGATGAAGAACAAGCCATAGCCCAACAAGCTCCAAATAAAGACATTGGCAAAGATCCTGGCAACAAGACTATGCTGGTGGGGAACCATGATCGCTCCATTCCAGTAGATCGCCACAAACGTCCAGGCCAAGGGCCAGCTCACAGCTCCTGCGTGGATAAGCTTGGTGTAAGTCGCATGGCGGAAGTACAAGCTTGACAGGTTGAAGAAGTTGATGATCAAGATGATCTCAGACCAGACAAAGTGCGACCGGACAAAGAGCATAACCCAGGCGAAATGGAGGAGGTTGTTGAGAATGAAATGGCTACCGACGGAAGCCGCGGCGTTGACGGTTGTGGCATCAGAGGAGAAGAGGTGAGAGGTATAGATCAACTGGAGGATAAACATGACGACAAAGTAGATGGAGGTAATGACTGCATTTTGGGTGAAGCCAGAGTAGTGGTGATAGTTCTGGTGCCAAATGCTACCCCCAAGATATTTTCCGTCGGCAGGCGCATGGGTATCGTAGTAAACGGTGGTGACGACGGACAAGAGCCAGGTGAGAAGTGAGAGGATCTTGTAGGTCGTGATGGAGGTTGTAGTGTGGGAGTCACGCTTGGCGAACGGGTTAACTGCGGTCACGATGGTTAGTATTGATCCTGAGATCGGGATGTGGGATGCGAAGCGTACTTTGGTGGAAGCGATCCATTTTGCCGGTTCAGCGTGTATTGCCAGGACTTCGAGAAGTTGATGACTTGCTGGATTGTCGGGTTGTCAAGAAGCAATGGTAGGAAGGTCGGTGTTTTGTGTTCAAGGAAGGATTTCCTATCAGCAGTGGAGGAGACGGGATGGAATGCTCGGGAAGCTGCCCGTCAGTGGCTGCCTTTTACTTCTGGTTTCAGTGTTGCGGATGTTGCGGGGAAGCAAAGCACGTTGGGATGCACGAGGCAGGGAATTGCAGATTTCCTGGTTGAACAAAAACCAGCCGATTGGCCTTATTGAGCTCCAAGTTGCCACCCCATCTGTTTGAAGCAGCGGTCTTGCGTCGATGGATTGGATGAAGGTGTGTTACTTTGCCTACATGGGATGCGTTACCTGTTACCTGCCGTTGAAGAACCGGTCACCTTGACAACTGCGTCATTGGTTTTGTTTATGACAGATGATCAGTTTGAGGTAAGACTCCCCCAAGCTTGGTGCTCCTAATGCCAAAATAGCGATGGAACAGAGGAGAGAAATTCATTTTTGATCCCCCCGATATGGCTGAAATATGGACAATAACTGCAGAGTTGCTCAGTATCCAACATGAAGTCCAGCAATGAAGTTGCGAATTCGACATGCAGGACAGGAAGGATGCTGCGGGCCAGCGATGATATGGTTGGCCATTGATTTCAATCAATTACATCATACCCCTCCACAGTTCACTTTGAATCGTTCCACTTTTGACTGTTGTGAACCTCAATGGCCAGGCCAAATTCCCGCCTCGTGTTGGCTTCGAGAAAAAAACACATGAGGATTGTGGACCTCAAGCATTCTGGTATCGCTCATTTTCAGCCCAAACCAACCAGTCCAAGGCTTCCTCGACAGTCGAACCATCTAAGCTACAAGCTTCATTGTCAGCCAGATGTCATTTCGGACCTACCTTATAAAAAAGTGCGGGGCAATTCAAGACCGACCACCACTGCAGGTGACATCGCCGATCTCCAAACACCATTAGGGATCACGAGGCCTGCCTGAACTTGGAGATGACGGGAAATCCAGTTCAGCTTGGTGAGACATGGTGAGTTTGGGAATCCCGTCAGTCATGTCATGTACACTGCCACAACAGGACCTAGTTTTGTCCAGACTGTCAAAAGTTCACTTTCCTAATTGAGCTATTGTCATTAGATGGAGAGATTGTACATTTCCAATTCATGGCATTCTGCACACCGCATCGATATCGACCGCGAAGGCAGATTCGAGATGGCATATTGGACCCTTTGGGCATTGAAAGTTAAGCAGCCACGTCAAGTGTCAAGAGGCTGGTGGATTGCAGGTGGCTTGCATGATCTCGTCGCCCGGCTTTGGTAGCCCCACCCGGTATCACATCATCTGGTTGGTGAGGGACTCCCTGCACCTTTCAGGTGCCATCACTACAGTTGCAACGCTACTGTCAGCATGATGTTCTAGGTCCAAGTGGATTCCGGGTCTCTTAATTGTACACTACATTCTTGTGGGCACCAAGCTGTTTTTTCTTTGTAATTACACGATACATCGACCTGCACACATACATTCCCTACACACCACACCTGCTGCTCTCAGAAGCCGATGCCTTGCCAGGCGTATTACCTCTGTCATCAGTTAGCAACGGCACTCCGTGATGGCTGAAGGGGTCTCACCTCGAATAACATGAGTATCTTCGAGGACTCAAAGATTGCCGGTTGCTTCGCCCATTCCAGTTCCCTTTTCCGTAACTGCCAGCTTTGTTTTCACAGCCCGGCGGGAAACCAGTGTACTTTCTTCGAGTCGTGGGCCGCTTTCCCCTTGCGTGGTTGTGCTCTCCCAGCTTGATCTCTGGTAGATGTTCTGGAAGTCCTCTACTGGGTACCATCGGTGTGGGCTTCTTTGACGGTTCGTTCGTGTGCGAGTTCGGCTGGTCTTCTTGAGATTCGGCGGAAGCGACTGCCGATGGTGCTTTGAGCTCGAGTTTTTTCTTTCGGAATGTGCTCGGGATACCATCTGTGATCCAAGCCCCAATCTCTAGGAGATCAACGGCTGAGTCTGAAGATAGACCCATGGTGAAAACATGGGGAAAAATGTTGGGGACAATCTTTACTGCCTCTCATTCCGTCCAGGCTGCCTTACTTTGGGCAGACACCGTACTTGAATCTCTTTCTTGGACTCCTTGTCCAACACTCACATAGGAGGCAGTTCAAAACATCACCTTTTTCGTCATCGCCCAATTTGATACACAGCATATTAGCTCACAAATGGCGAAACAGTGGCGGTCAGCTTTGGAATTCTGGAATTCCATTTCAGTATCAAAACAATTATTTCCTGGGGTTGACGGGCAAAGCGGCTCAGCGCACACCTCAGTATGCATATGCATTAGTGAATCGTCGCGTCCAGCATGATACGACTCGCTCCTATTGGCCGCATCCTACTGTTCACCGTTTATGAGAGCCAAGCATGCGTCTTTCAGATACGGCTTATTGGGTTGACTTGGACGCCTTGCGAGGCGCAAGGCACAATTTCCAGTTCTCCTTTGGTCGTCCGCGAACCGACCTGAGCTTCAATTTCCATTTGCCTTAAGAAGATGGAGTTCGCTTGTCTTCGGCCAGGCACGATGGCATTGGGTATATTAGGAACAAGAGTCAACTGCTTGGAATCATCAAATCTCTTCCGATGACAGTCAAAGTAGGACAGCCAGTGTCTCGATCCAAGCACCAGTCTCGAGTTTCAAGACGAATACACGCCAGGATGTCCGAGAGAGATAATTTCGTCCACCCCGAAAAAGAGCACGCAAAGCGCATACAGGAGGAACGCTGGGAGCACTATAAAGATGTTATCGTCGCTAAGTACAAAGAGTCGACGCTCGATAAAACCAAAACGTATATGGAAAAGGAATACAACTTCAAAGCATCGTGGGTCATTTCTGCCCCTGTTCAATTAATATTCTAACGGTTTCAACTAGTCGGCGTCAATATGTTCACCGTTTGGGCAAAAAATGGAATATCAGTAAATACAAGGGAGGACAGCCTCAGGTCGTGGATGAGCCATCGCCAAACACCCCCCTTTTTGAGGCAGAACCCAGCCTCACCCGACCTTTCGTCTGTTGCCCTTCATCCCCCTTCACCCATGACAAGGCCAGCTTTGGATTTCTCACGTTACTCGTCTGAGCAACTGGCTGCATTCCACATTCTCTCAGACGGCCTCCTGTACCTCGGTGATTTGAATAACGCGTTCGCCATCAAAGCGGAGCTTTACCGGGTTATCACGGCAGGCCATGGCGACTTTACTGATCAGGAGATCAGACGACAGCTTTTACGACGATATGTCATTGACTGCATCTGCATCATACAAACCGAGGCCGACGCAAAAGCTGCCCGTCAAATGCTGGAGCAGAATGACCTTTTGTACGAGAGGTGGGCAGATACTGATGACAACACCTGGGAGAGTGTTCTCTTCCGCATTCTCACCTCGAGGACCTATGATTCGGAGAATTCTGAAAGCTCGATTATACAGATTGTCGAGATCATCAACAAAACCACCGTCGAAGCAGACGAGGCAGGCCACGAAAAGCTGCAGACACTGACGCCTAGAAAGTACCGTTTCGACCTTCTCATGTACAAAATCTTCAGCTATGCGTTGGAGAGGTACAATGAGCCGACAGCCGTGGACGAAATGCCCATTGACGTTGGGGGGCTCCTGAAGCAGTTCAAGAACACCCAACCCGCAATCAAGGACTCCAGCGTTGATCCTCGGCTGGAATGGGAACTCGTGCTGAAAACTCTGGACTTTTGTGTTTCCGAGCTCTCAAATGGCGAGTTTCATCCCCTGAGACTCGACAACAAGACCACCAGGGCCAACAAGATTTTCTGCACTCTTTTGTGTGCTCTTCAAAAGCAGATTATGATTCGGGAGCAAACAACGACGGCTCTAGACAACATTGCAAGCGACAAGGCACATGCCCAGTTTGCAAGTGTTTACACCGAGCTTCTCGGCATCGTGGTCGGCCTGATAGTCGATGAAGCGCCATCCTTGGAATTCTCCCGAAATCCCTTGCCACTGAAGGAGTGGGCTCTGAGAGGCGCCCAAAAAGTCAAGAGTCTTGCGGAACAGTCAAACCTTGACCAGGAAAATACAGGTCTAATTGACCGGTTCCTCGACAAGGCAAACTCAATGAACGTGGAGATCATGCTTGAGAACCTTTCGAGGAAGCAGCCCGAGGAAGTCAACATCCGCGAACTCAACCTCCTCCGCAAGGAATTGGCACAGAATCTCGGCGTGGAAATTCTTCCCGACTTGGAACCTAGAGCAACGGTGATTGTACCCTTGACTGCGAGCTGGGAACTTTACGACCGGAGTGCCTCTCAACCTGTGCTTCACCTGCTGCACGACCACCCGGCGCCAAGGGGGGCCAGATCACGCTCAGTATCTCGATCGCATTCGCCTTCTGCTACTAGCAGTAGCCAGTCACCCGCCACAAACGGAAATGCCACCGGCCAGGCGAGCGATGCTTCTGCCGAGGGGGATAGTGAAGATATTATTCTTGACTAAAAACGCCCCCTCCCTTTCACGTCCTGGGCACTGTTGTTTTCTCTCGATTCTCTCGTTATATAGACTCAAGTTTTTTCTGGGCGCGTTTCCCATTCCACATTTGATATAAGGTAGCCAGCGCGTAGTTTGGATCAGCGGGTTTATTTCGTTTTGTTTGCCTTTCTTGTTTCCTCCCTAATGTTGTCTTTTCCTAGTCTATACGCTATACTAGAATGACTATTTTTCCTTCTTTCGGTTTCATCTTGACACTTGCTCTCTGTTTTTTCTTTTCCCCTCCAACGACTTGTACGTGAAAAACATGGAGAGCTTTCTCATGCCCATAGATACACGATATAGAATAGGTAGCAAGGCACGTATTCACAAGAGGTTCCGGACTGTCTCACGGTGTCTTTACCGGCAATCCTTGTGGTGTTTACACGCCCTCGGGGTTTCTGAATACTCGGCTTGACGACGAAATTCTTGCAACAACGCCGATAAGTTTGTCCGTCCTTTTACGTGTCTGACACTTGACGTGGTATCCTTTACTTGTTTGGCACGACATGTTCAATCCCAGAATGCGCGAAATAATCCCGGGGAGAAATCTTTCTGATTCTCATAACATGTACTTTGCTACCAAACTATCCCGTGTGTAGTATTGTACACGTCCTTGATAATGACAAATCGATGAGCACAAAAAATGCAACAAAACAAATGAAGCAAAGCTCATGAAAAGTTGAGTGGTATGCATGCCTTTCAAGACTGGTAGGGACGACCATGGTCATCATTGACGCGCCCTGCAACTCCGGGACCCTCCGCGATACCAGGTCCAAGGCCTGGAGGACCATCCGTAAAGGGGTTTGGTGGCGGTGTTACATCACCATCGTTGGGGTCCGAGCCGCTTATGGTGCTGCTGTCTTGTTTGATGATATCTGCTGCCTGGATCCGCTGTTAGTGTCGTCGAAAAGCTAGGGGATTGTGGGGGTCAGGTTGGCAAACCTTTTCAGCGATAGCATACACAGCTGCCTGGATGTGAGCAGCCGGTAACAAAGGTATAATACCAGCATCGATAACCCTCAAGTTCGATGTCCCGTACACCATCAACCGCGGGCTCACGACTCCCCCAAACTCCAAAGGCAGCATCGATGTTGATCCGGCAGGATGAAACTCGGTTTGCAGCTTGGAGTGGACTGCCTCCAACAGGGCTGTATCATTCTGGCTGGTAAGATCATCCCAGGGGTACGCGGGCTGAGGGACGAGCTGCTGCATGGCCTTTGTCTTGACTAACTGATTATTAAGCTTGAGACCGCGCACAATGATGTCGCAGTCGAATGGGTGTGAACAATAGCGCGGGTCGAGAAGAATATTTCGGGCCACGGAGCCATTGGCGAGGAGATCCGCTGACAATGCCCGGACAAAACCTCTGCTCAAAGGATGCTGAACTGCTGCTGTTAAAGTACCGATGCTGTCTGCCATCACCTCGAGCGCACCCACACTTGAGCGGGCGAGGAGGGAGGTAAGGAGGTGTTGTTGACGGGCATAGCCTTTCAGGATCGTGGGGTGTTGACCTGGTCCAGGAGGGAGGTGAGACTCGGGTTCGGAACCAGGTATGTTCGATAAGAGGGTTTCCCAGTTCATGTCGAGATGTCGGAGAGAGGCAAACGCGAGAGTTGAGATTAATGGGTGCGTCAGGGGACCTGTTCGGTTGGCAAAGTATTGGCTCTCAACTTCCTCAAGAATACTGCCAGTGAGGTTGTTCGCCGTAAACATTCCAGAACGAGTGTCTAACAATCATCAGTTACTCATCTGAGAAGTGGAGAACCTCGGATAGTCACTCACAGTTATAAAACGCGCCGACCATTGCGTGATCTTGGAGGTTCTGGCCAACCCCCGGCAGGTCGATCTGAACAGGTACACCCAGTTCATCCAGAACGGAGGCTGGACCTATGCCAGACACTTGCAGCAACGATGGTGAAATGATAGCCCCCGCTGCTAGGATCACCTCCCTATCGCATGCCATTCTCTTCCGTGGGGAGTCAAACGATGTTGCGAACTGCTTTGTTAGTTCTAAATCCTAGTTCAAAATCACTAAAGCAGCTCACCTCAACCCCAAATGCTCTCTTGAGACCCTTAGCAGGCCGTTCGGAGTCCTCATCAACAGCCTCAGCCCCGAAGAGGACGCGAGTGACGGTCTGCTGGGTCGCCAAATGCAGGTTTGGGCGACTTAGGACACTGTCCAGATACGCCCTTCGGCTGTCCGCTCGTGACTGGTTACGATCGTTGATAGTAGCTGGGGCAACCGAAGCGCCTGCTGCAATACCGGTATTGATGTCGGGAAGGAGCGGGATCCCGAGCTCAGAGATGCCCTCGAGGAAGTTACCTTGGAGTGGTCAGCGTGAGACCCTGCCATGGAAAAAAGGGGGTGACATACGAGATGAATTGTAAAAGAATCTCGGGTAGCCTACTTGCAAGGGACCTTTCTGGCCGTGAACTTTCATATGTGGTCGAATATGAAGATTTTGACTGTCTTCTGGAGCCACACAGGCAGTAAAGTTCTCGCTCTTTTTGAAGTAACGAAGCATTCCGTGCCAACTCCAGCCGGGATTCCCCAGCGTACGCCAGGCATCATAATCGTACCTGGCCCCGCGGGTCATGACGAGACCATTGAGGATGCTACCACCTCCAACAACATGACCCTGGCCGTAGTCCCGAGTACGGTTGTCTAAGGATTCCTGTGGTGCGGTGGTGATGTTCCAGTTCTGAGACGGAATGAAACCGTGGCCGACAAGTCCGGGGATAGTGACGAGGTCCGGGCCTGAGTCTCTGTAGTTGTGCGTTAGCAGATATCTAACTGAACTGCTGCTGGGTGTCTACTAACAAGTCGCCAGCCTCGAGAACAAGAACAGTCACTATGCCTTCATGTCAGTCAAACAAGAACATGCCTATGAATCAGATAGGAGCCCACCATTTTTGTTCTCCGTGAGTCGATTGGCTACAACGAGGCCGGAAACACCGCCACCGACAACAATGTAGTCGTAGGAAGGAAGCGCGAGATCGATGAACTTGTTGGCTGGGACGAGAAGCCCATCCACAGCCTGTAGGCACGCTGAAAAAAAAATAGCGACTAAAAATGCAGTCAAATCCATCTCGAACGACTGAACCAATGGATGAAGTGCAAAATATCGTCAAGATATGCTGTTTGACAAAAGACTGGTTCGCTAGTAGTTAATCCCTACAAACGCTGAAAACTCATGACTTGTATGGGTGTCGATGGGTAGGTGTGTGATGCTGCTCCGCTTGACATGAAAATAAAACGACGAGGTCGCTGGGCGATGAGAAAAGGGGACAGTCTCGGCGAGTGAGCATATCTGGGAGGGAGCGACTTGATGTGGATGTCAAAGCATGCTCACGCGATATTCATAAACACAGCCCTCCTCTCAGGTCGATACAGAACTCACTTGCTCCCAGTTCCCCACATCGCACATTCTTTTCCTCGACTTTCATTGCTTGACCTAACGGGCGAAAAGGTTTTGCAGCCTTCGGGGCCAGAGCCTCATCACATGGCAGCAGAACCATGGCCATATGTTCATGGCTCCTTCCAACCATCGAAGCTCCTTCCCAATATCAACCACACTTACCCCCCATCTGAACACCGATGGGCCGAAACTGTGGCCTCATGCTCCACTCCTCGTCTTTACTCACTGTTTTATTCGCACGAGTCTCGCTCACGGATCGGAGCCTGGAGGTAACGTGTGGATCTGGAGCCGTTGTTTGCCATTGCGGCCCCTTGCGTTTCCGTCACCCACATGCAACGTGCGGGCAGGCAAATCTGGATGTCGATGTCACTGTCTCGACTGCTGCCACGCAGAACATTTCTTTGATCTTCTCGCCAACACTTGGACTGGAATTAGAATTAGATGAGACGAACTCAAGACAGATATGCTGTAATCCAGGGGAAGTGGTGATTTATGATATGATACCACGGCTGAAACTACAATACTAAAATAAAACTAGTTGGTATTGCTGCGTGATAGAGATCGACCGAGCGGAATCATAACTTGCCAAAAAAAAAAAACACTTGACACCAACAACATATCAAGGCGATTCTATGCACCGTATGCTGATCGAAGCAGAAAAGGAGCAGCTGATGTCGTTTTTCTTGAAGAATTTCAAGAAGTGCGACATCATCATCCACCCCTCTCCGACCTCAATCAACAAGTTAAAATAACAAGTAAAACAAAATAGCATTCATCAACTCCCTACAACGAAAAGTTTCCTATCACTCTTCACACTTGTTCATACAAGTAGAACAAAGAAAACAGAGGTCCATCAAAAAAAAGAAGTATCATAAAACTACGTGCTCAGCCTAAGAGCTGAAAACACAAAACATCGAATTATCCATCCATCAAAAGTGTGGCTTGGAAGGGGGGGGGGGGGGTATCTGCGCATATCCATTACAACCTTTTTTCTCGCCTCTCTCCCTCTTGCTCTCTCTCCCTGCCGGTATCATATATCTTTCTCTCAGTCTGACAACAAAAGCCAAATGCCCGAAGCCATGCTATGCAGATCAGATATGCATACGCTCAGTCAAATTAGTAAAGAATCTTCTCCTCCCACACAGGCGGCCTGGTTCCTTCCTCGTCCCACTCCAGCTTGCCCTTCTCGTTCAGAGTGCACCCTTCGTCAGTGATGGGAATGATCTTGCTGGTGTGGGCAATCTCCTGCTTGGAAACTCCCGCCGGGTCGGCGGGGATCCAGAGCAGAGGGGCCTGGGAGGTGACACTGGGCGGGTTGTATGCATTCTCGATGATTTCGGGGGTATACTGTGGCAACGACACGTGGCGGGGCACAAGGTTGCGCAGTGTGGCGTAATCGGAGTAAATCCAGGGCTTCAGGAACCGAGTGAGGAAGTTGCCCTTGCTATGAGCAGCCGCCGCCTTTCGGGCCGCCCGGGAATGAGCAACTTGCTCTTCGGCACTCTCCACAATACCGTCGCCATTGAGGTCATGCTCATCGACGAACTTGTCATTTCCGTTGCTGTGGCTTGCGCCAGCTTCGCCGTCAAGGAGGCGAACAGATTCCTCCTCAGCGAGCAGCGACATGGGCATATTGTAGAGGAGAGGGTCAAGAGCGGTGTTAAGGCTGTAATGGAACAGAACGGTGAAGATGATGAAGATCACCATGAGAATGACCGGGCCAGGAGCCGTTCCTGCGATGAACAGTCCGAGCATGCAAATCTCGCCGAGGTAGACTCCGACGAAGAGCTGCTTGAGCGCCTTAGGATAGATCAGACCGCGGGTGTCGATCTGGGTATCAGTGACAAAGAAAACATTGTATCTCCAAGCGAAGTAGAAGAGGAACATTGCGATGGTAGCCCAGCCCAACATAAGAGGAGCAATGCACGAGTAAGTAATGGCTACGTATTGTAGTTAGCGACAGCATTGAAAAAGCGGGACAAAGTGCGGACATACCGATAACCACAATGTTGGTGTAGACCGGCATGGTGCTGCCCCATGAAATGGCGCTCAAGTTAGACCACTTCTGGTAGAGGGCGCGGGGTGTGTTCGCCAGGAACTTGTAGAGAACTGTGAAGATGAAGAACCCGACGACCTGGGTGAGCACGCTAGTGGCAATGGTCAAGCCCTGGACGATGAAATATGTGATGTAAAAGTTGGATGCTTTAGGCAAGCCCTGAGCCAGGATTCTCGGTGTCTCATTGGGGGCGTTGATGATCTGTTCAATGACGGCAGGAGCCGATGACGACAAGGTGGTGACCAAAAAGACCTGGATGACCTGGAAGGCGAAATATGCGTTTTGGGTGAACAACTCAACGCCGGAAATTGATGGCTCGCCGGCCAATTTCGCACAAACTACAAGACTCGTTAGTTTAATTGGGACGCTGCACAGGAGCTTATGGTCGGTCTACTTACGGCGCATGATGATGGGCACCAACGACATGAGGATAGCAAGGGCCACAGATGGCAGAAGGCCAGTGATAACGCCCAGGATGACCTTGGGAATATCGGTGAGCCACGACAGCCAAGAATATTCCGTTGCGAGATAGTTGATGTTGCTGATAGCACCAACAACAGCAACAGGGATGGCCCAAAAGATGATCAAAGCAGCGATGAAGGCCAATACAATGTAACGCCGAATCACAAGCTGCCACCACGGAACAGCCAAAGACTTCCAGATCACCTCGCTCGGGCGAATACCAACGACACGGTTCGACATGTGAAGACCTTGGTGATGGGCCAGCATCTGAGCGGCAGCTTCGGCGGCCTGCTGCGACGTGAACTCGATGAAGACACCCGGAATGTTCTTGAAAGCGCCGCTCCGGTACTTGGCTTGGACAGCTTCCGCCTCCGGGATGAGGCGCTCCAGCTCGGCGCGGCACCAGTTGATCGTGTCCACCTTCTTTCCAATCAGACCAAGAGGACCGGTTCGGTGTGTCGGCCGAGACTTGGCCGACAGCCATCGGGCCGCAATGCTTCCAGACTCGGCATCACCCGTGATCGCTTGCTTGTCAGCTTCGGACGCATTGGCGCCGTTCTTGATGGCCTTCTGGCGGGCCTTGTTCGCAAGCTTGATCAACTTGATCTCGGCCTTCTCCAGCTTCATGGCCACCTTGTCGCGCTCCTTCACCAAGTCATCCACCTCGTCGGTGCGAGCTGTGATCCAGATATTCTTGGCATTTTGGCCAAACACTTGGCGCAGCTTTGCTTCGTTTAGGTAATTGTCCGGGACGCAGGTGAACAAGACGGTGCGAGACGAAATGCGCTCCGAATAAAAGGGGCTGAGCAAGAAGGCCTGGCGCAAGTTAATGTAGAAGATGCACTCCCGCATGATCAGATACATGACGAAGCCAAAGTAAGCCCAGCTCACGAAGACGTGGGCAAAATAGCGGTTCTTGTGGGTGTCCGGGTTAACATTGGAATAGGAGAGTATGTCGAGCTCCTTCTGACCACCGCCACCGGTAGCATTGATGGGGAAAAGAACGGGCCAGGTGATGATGCAGCCAACGAAGCAGAGAACAAGCGCCATCTGCAGGTACCGAATGTAGAGGTAGGCATCGAGAGATTGGTGCTGGAGGGCGTAGATGTCGGGGATCCTCCAGAAGCTTCCTATCCAGTTGAACAGCCCATTGGGAAGGGGGGGCGATCTTTCGCTCTCTCTCAAGCTCCCCAAGTAGGTTCGCGGTGCGTAGTAGCGTCTCTTGCTACGTCTCAGTATCAGAAAGACGGCGAGATAAGCCCCAGAGATGACGGCGACAGGGGCGAGGGTCGAAACCAATGCTTTGTCAAGTGTGTCAGTACTGCAACTGCGTTGTGCCCAAATCATCTTCAGGAGCAAAGCTTACCCGAAAGCGAGGAGCTTTCCGCCGTTTCTCCAGTGCTGGAAGTATTGTTGCTGTTGCTCATGATGGCGGTATTGCAGAATTCAGCGTCTGCGCGCTTAGGGGTAGGGTTAGTAGCCGGCAATTATGCCTGAAGAGGTTCGTGAACCGTCGTCAATGCCGTCGTAAATGTTGATGTCTCTAGGAAACAGAGTCGAGTCGCCCTCCCCGTAAAAGGGAAACGAACCGGAAGGCCTGAAAGGAGCGTGTCAGATCACAGATCACAGATCAGAGATCCTCGGGAAACGGAAGAAAATTGACGGGCTGGGCGGTGCGGAAGGGTAAATGGAGGAGAGAGCTCCTTGGACGCGCCCAAAGCTTGTGCGCCGACGGAGTGGAACGAGTGGACGGGAGAGCAGGTGAAGGGAAACGGCGCAGGGATGCGGGCTGGAGGAGGGTCCTTACAATTTGGTGGTTTGGCAGGGGAAGCCACGACGGCGTCAAATTACTGGGCTGGGTCTGGGAGCTTGGGTCGTGAAGCTACTCCCTTCTGGGATTGGACGATATTTGGTGTATCAAACACGCTGGAACGGCTGGACCGCTGGAGGCGGCCGCCGTCAACGGGGGAGCCAACGGGCTTTTTATCAACTACGGAATGGACAGCCACTTCGGCCTTGTCTCCGACTTTTGGCAACTCATCATTGTCTGCACCACCAAATCTAGCTTTGTGTTCTTTGCATCGGGGACACTGAATCCAATGACGCAAGTCGTTGCCAATCCAGACGTTGCATTTTCATTAGGCCCATGCAC